TTACACCTTATCTCGATTTAATAGAAGCTATTTTATCCTTCGCATCAGTACATGACAGGTTTATGTTTTGTTTATATATATTAAATCTTATAGTCACTGATAGACTTAAAACAGTTAAGAATATTGTAGACATGGCAAGTAAAATAAATGTTTTATATAGTTAAAACCACTTATCAATTATAATTCACTAATTTCTTTGATGATAAACTTAGAGGTGTAAGTGCAATACCATAATTTGTTATAAGTATAATAAATTATGACAAAAAATGCTATAATTTATTATAGTTATAACAAATTATAGCATTGCTCTCACACCTCTAGACAGACTTATTGATATTAACATTTCAAGTCTGCTAAAAGAGACTATAGTAAGCAATGTAATTTTGAAGTTTATTATAAGAAGAGCATCTGAAATACTGGAATACAACAAATTTATTTTATAAGTTTGGCTACATGTTTTAACCACATCATGTTTAGGTTTGATTTAAAGAAAATTAACTGTACTTATTCGTAGTTGATGTTAATAGATCCAAGATTGTGTGAAGTGGATTTATAGTTCACAATATCAATAGCAAAGCTTTGAGGATTCTGTTGTTAGATGTTGTGAAAGGTTAGTTTCAAGTCAGCAGCCAGTATTTAACGTAGTTACTCACTGGAATTCAATATATTTGATGTTGGAGTCTACTATTCTATATAAAAGTATATTCAAATGTCTTGCACTTCATGATGCTAGTTTTGAGTTAATTGTGCTCTTGGACAAAGATTGGAAACAGGCTGAGCATTTCTGTAGTTTCTTAAAACTATTTTATGAAAGTAATATTAATTATTAACTTCAGTTTTTATACAGTCAACTCTCTTTGTAACAAACTAAAATTCTGGAAAAAAAAAGTTTGTTATAGAAAATTATTACTATATTTATTTAAGAACCAGTAACACTTTTTTATACCAAACTATTATAAAATTTCAAATTTTTGAGTTTGTTATAGTGTAATATAGCAATACAGAGTTTTAGTAAAGCTATACTACTTGACTTAACATGTAAGAGGGTTAAGAAATGTATTTGCAAATAAGAAAAGAATAAAATAAGAAAGAAAGCTAAAAGAGACTTTAAAGTAAGACAATATACCTAAAATAAAGAAAAGAGGGGATGGCTCTAATCCTAAAACACAATAGAATATTCAAGACAAGGGAGAAGAGGTGATGGCTCAACTCAATATACCAAAAATAAATACTCAAAGAAGAAAGAAGAGGCGATGGCTCAACTTTAAATACACAATAAAAAACACAATAAAAGCTTTATTAAACATAATAAAAAGAAGGTAGGCGATGGCTACACTTCCAAGAAGATGAGTTGTAATTAACAAGGAAATAAAAGTGAGGAGGAGATAGTCTGCTCTGCCTTGGGGAAAAAGGCAGGGTTTTTATATCTTTTGGACTATTAATAAACAACCTAGTTAATGACCCAGTTAATGACCCTTTTAACAACCCAGTTAACGACCCTTTTAACAACCCAGTTAACGACCCTTTTAACAACCCAGTTAACGACCCTTTTAACAACCCGGTTAATGATCTAGTTAATGTACTAGTTAACGTACCTGTTAACGTACCTGTTAATATACCAGTTAACGTACCAGTTAACGTACCTGTTAACGTACCTAATATAATACTAAAATTACTACTATTTGTTAAAAATTTAACTATTAAACTAAAGCTAAAAATCAACATATAATAAATATAAATTATACTGATAAAATATGCTAATAAAATCTACTAATATAACAATGGTTTTCTCTTTTTTGAAAATAATTAAAATGTTTATGTTGTTGATGAGAAATACATTTTTGAAAATGCAAAATATATGGCATTTAACAATACAATTAGTCAAAGAACCCAGAAAAAAATACAAACATCTTCACCTCAATCATCACAATTCCTGATGCCAATAATACTAAACAAAAGAATTGTCGAATACGAAGAAGTTAAACAGTGGGTTAAGTTAAATATCACATTTGTTTCTGTATTTTCACTTTAATAATTTCTTATCTTTAGATATATTGAGTCAATTCAGATTGTATACACATCTAGTATAAATGCATCCAAATTGGAAAACCTAGTAGGAAAGGATCTTGCAAATAAGATATTCTCATACTGAAAGCTAGTGCCCTCCATGTGAACAAAAAGTTTAGAGAAATACTTTATAAATGTGTTAGATGTGAGTCAATATTGATTTCTTCATTTGAATTATCTAATGTGATTATACCAAATTGATATGTAATATATACAGAAAATGGGAAAAGAATTCAAGTTGGCAATCCAAGAAGAAATAAAGGGAGAAAAAGAAAATAGATTTAGATTGTATTGTGAAAAAGTACTAATAGGATTGTGAGTATTAAGTTGTTTGTTGAGATAAAAAAGAAATTACATAATTATACTATTTTGATACTCTTAAAAGTTATAATTTAGTTGATGTTTCTTTAATACTCTCAAGGTCAATCAAAGAATGAAAATTCATTATATACCATATTGCGCCATTGTTCATGTTTTATGAATCTACTTTCGGAATATTGAAATTTGACTGGATAGAAGCAAATTCACGATTGGCAAAGATAATTAAAACAAATACTGATTCTGGAATCGTACAAATGGATATTAAAGGTATGCACTAATCTCTATGATTACGATTATGTTTGGTTACTGATTTAAATATCTATTTTGACACAAAAGAGACTCAGATCAGAGATGACAGAGAAATATGACAAATAGAAATTTCAGGGCCACCCAGTACTTCTACAACTTGCCATATCATCAGTAACACAAAAAAGTCTATACAAATTGATATATTGAATTTGATAGGTGTCCTAAGTAACCATCTTGATCTCAATGTGAAAATTGCAAAAGAAGTTAAAGTGTTCAGCACACAAGTTATAGGTATGTTTTTTATTGCATTGCTTTGTATAAAATCAAAAATACTGATTATATTCTCCTTTTTTTTTTACTATTAATTCATTAGCACATCGATTGACATTGTACGCCCTTAGTATGCAAGAAGATGGCATATTTTTTATATATAAGCTTGCATCAACAGAATTGTCGTTTGATTTCCATTCAAAGTCAAAATATATGCCAGTCTTGCGGTTGATGGCTATTTTTCACATAAGTGAATAGTATAAAATATACTATATAATTAATTTGTATTTCTTTATATTTAACTATTTTTGCTATTTTTAGAATGAGATAGTTCAGCAAAAGACAGTTATAGATAAAATCGATCGTATTCTCATTTTTTGCATGGGTAAATACGTTCGTGATGTTTTGAAGATTCTGGCAAACTTAAGAAACAAATAAGTATATTGTATAATTACAGAATGAATATATTTGCGTGATGTTTTAATGTAATAATAGATCAAAAATAGATTATGTAATTATCACTAATAAAAAATATTGCTAATGCGAACTATATATGCTTATTTTTTTGAAATATGTATACATTATTGGGCAAAAATTTGTGAATAATAGCAATTTGGCAAATAAACATGTGCCGCTTTGTGGTATATGCAGCCAATCATTTGCTAAATTACCATATTCGCAAATTTGTCCAATAATGGTGTTATTCAGCAATTTATGATCATGATTAGTAGAGATGTTAAAAGTCCAGTCCAGTTCAGTCTGACTTCATGAGCCGAGTTTTTAATCTCGACTCGGTCCTGAGTCGGGTTCAGACTGAGTCCTAATAATCTCATAATAGTCACATGCAATGTTAAAAGAAATTATACTGATACAGCATGCAGATGCATGCTGTGTTGGCATAATTTTCCAAAAAATATATTATTTCTTTTATCATTATCATATGATCTAATATTGCATATGACTACTATAAGATTATTGAGACTCAGTTTAAACCTAACTCAGGACCAAGTTGAGATTAAAAACTCGACTCATGGAGCCAGATCGGACCGGACCGGACTTTTAATATCTCTAATGATTGATAACTGCATCAGGGCATAAGATCAATTTTCCATTCACGTGATTTCTAAACTAGTGATTAACATCATGCATATTCGTTATCATTACAAAGTTTGCTTTGATATACATAATTGTCTTGTATTTATAACATTTAAAAATGATAAATAGGGTGAAACGTACATTAAATTCTGGTAAAACCAACTCTCTGCATAAGCACATTCTTTTTATGTGTAACACAAATCCACGTATACAATCTGCATAGTGTGTTTTACTCACACAAAACTTTAATTTTTATAAATTAAAATTATTAATTTGGTGTTAAGATAAATAAAGAAAATTTAAATTAGCTGGTATTAAATTAATATACTAAATTTAGAGAAATTAGTGAAATTAATAAATATATAAAATCAAATATCCAAAATTATTTTTTCAAGGGAAATGTAAATAAAACTGATTAATAGTAAAATAAAAGAATTTTATTAATAATTATAAATTTTGTTTCATACAAATTTTGAGAATAATTCTGTTTCATATATCTTTTATTTACTGTATATCTATCTAATCTAAATGTAGTAGCAGAGTAGTAGTTAAACAAATCGCTAAAATATTACTTTAAAATCGAGATAAAACTACTTACTATAAGTTTTTTAGTTTAATTTTTACAACACATAATTTCTTTTAGATTAATTTAAACTTATTGATACTTGACACATTTGAATTGATCTCTTAAATATAAAAGTCTTAAAAAATGGAGTGACTAATTAATAAATCAGAAAAAAATTCTTAATAGCAATTACTTAATAATACTTATCATTATATCAAAAAATTCACTCGCGATTTAACATTAGCTTAATTTTAACAAAATTAAAAATTAGTTATTAAGACTTCTGTTTTTTATAATTCATTAAATTTTCTAAACTACAAAAAAGCAAAATGCATATTACTCACCAATGCCTTTCTGTACTTCATGTTCGCGTACTCTTTCCTCTAAAAAATTCATATATGAAGGCAAGAGCTATAAAACTTGTGCTAGGTGTATGACTAAAGTTAAAGGCAAACCTGCTAAAAAAGATAAATTAAATAATGAAAAAGCTATTGTTGAAGTAATTTCTGTTCAAGATATTAGCGACTATATTGCTAATACAATTGCTGATTTAAAAAATCATTCAAAGCTTTCTTTTGCCTTTGGTATTCATTTTGATGAAGTTATACTTAATACTGTAGATACAGACATTAAGGCAATAGTTATATTATTAATTGATGAAATTGAGAGTGGAGATGAATATAATTGGACAGTCACGACTGCACCAAATCTTTTGGCTCATTATTATAGTATAGAAAATGCATATTTTACATGTTTACAACCAATAAAAAAGAATTGCTTGGTTTAAATATTGTGGCAAGTTATCGATTAAGATTAACATTCTAGCAGCAGAAGCTAAAGTATTTTTAAAATATGAAATATTGCGTAAGAAGCCCGATAATATTGCAATGCTGTCTGAAGTAAAACAAGAAATTAAATTTAAATTTAAATTCTACGGACTTACGAACCTATCTTTGCAGTAAAAATTTTGATTTATCAAAGATTACATATAAACAAATTCACCACTAGTGATTATATTATACGCAGAAGTTCTACAAAAATGATGAAAACCATATTATTTCTGCGTATAAGTTTTTTGAACAACAGCAAGAAAATAACTGTAGCTTATGTTTTCATCTTAATACAGATAGCACGATAGCTATTGGTTTTATCACATCTCTACTTTCAGCATCACATTATACCAAAGTACATTGTGATGCTACTTATAGAACTGCTAAAGGCAGATTCGAACTTTATAGAATTGTTGATAATATAGAAGGCACAGATTAGGATTTTATTTTATATATAAATTATGCCTAATATATACAAAATTATATACAGTCGATTCTTTCTATAACGAACAAGAAAAAAGTTTGTTATAAGAAATTCTATATTTTCTTAAAAATCTATACCACTTATGAAATTTCTAAATTTTAAGTTTGTTATATCCTGAATTCATTATAGAAAGGTTTATTATATCCAAAGTCGACTATATTAAATATTAAACATTAAATTATAATATAACAAATAATAAATTAAATACAGTCGACTTTAACTATAACAAACCTCTATATGACAAATTCTGGATACAATAAACTTCAAATTTTAAAATTTCTTAGTAGTTTGGTATAGAATGTGCTATTAGTTCTTAAGAAAGCATAGTAATTTTCTATAACGACTGTTTCTGATTTTCTAAGAGGTCAGGACTAGGTAAAGCAAATGGGATTAGGTCTAAGTCACGGACAACAAATCAATTTTTCGTTCTTTTTTCACACGAACTTTTTTTTTTCAAAACTATTAGTTTGTTATAGAAAGAATTGATTGTATTAATATTTTTTTTATACAAAATAACATACCTTGTAATCTTTCTATTAACAAATGATTACAGGTTTTCCAGTAGCGTATTAATTTTGGATACAACTAAATCTAATAACTTTAATCAGGAAGAATTATGCACTGAAATTCTTACAGGTTTCTTTTATGCTCTTTGTAATAGAGATCTAAATCCAGTATATTTTTATACAGATAAAGATTTTGCAGAGATTAACATTACAAAAGAAGTATGGTCCACATGCGATATACAGCATTGCCTATGACATATCAAAAAAGCAATTAAAGAAAAAATTAGAAGCCATAAAAAAATAGAACGTGTAAATTATAAACATAAAGAAGTTGTAATAGAATTTCTCTTTGTCGATTCTTCTTTTATATCAGATTTACAATGTAAAGATAATGAATATTATATTGTTTGCCTACCTAATCTTCATGAAACTGTTGTTAAAATAATTAAAACCTATTTTAATATGCATCCTAAAATCTCTATTAATATTAATGGACAATTTTTATCACCCCTAAAATAAGAAACAAAGCGGTTTCAGAAATTTATGAATTTTGTAAAGCAAATAATCTTGTAATACTATAGACTTACTTATAGTCATCTTGGTATAAGCCAACAAAGTAGTATTTTTAGGTGTGATCTACTTGAGTAACCATACTACTTGGTAAGACCAACATGATAATTTAAGTGTACTGGTGAGTTTTAAAACATAGTTACCTTTATCAATTTAATCATCCATATCTTGATTATCTAATATAGATAATTTATTCTCGTATTGTATCCGATCAAGCTAATCAGCTTCAACAATTATTACTTGGGAGAGTAGTATCACCATGGTTTGAAGAATTCAAAAAACAGTGGAATAATCTTCTAACCAAACCTCTTAATAATATTAAAGATCGCTATTTTACTGATTTAGAATGTTGGATTTGTAGTTGTATATTATTTTTCAAAGTCATTTTCTTATATGTAAATACCTAATCAGATAAAGTAAAACCTGAAAATATTCGATTAGTATATCAAAACTTCAAATAACAAACTGATTATCTATTTTTGATCTAAAATGGTAGTGAATTACAGATTGTATCTGAAGATACTTGTTTATTCTTCAGTTGACTGGTGAATTATCAATTAAATTTAATTACATAGTAATTAAGAAAAATTAAATTGTCAATATTGTTAAACTACTACACAAATATTGATATACATGCTTTTGTTATACTAAAATAAAATATAAAAAATGGTTAAAGCTGTGTATTTATATAATTTTAATATTTTAGTTAAAATTAAAGTTAGGATTAGGATTAGCTTAGTGTTGATATAAGAAGAGAGATATAAGTAAAATTGTCTTCTTAAAATTTTTAATTAGTACCCCAAGACAAGTTTAAACTGCTAGTTTTTGTTTTTTGTATTTTTTTTTCTTTTTTGACTTTTTCGAACTAATCTGTATAAACCAAATTTCACAATTTTGGTTGATTGATTTATACAAAAAGTTACATGAAAATATGGCTGATTTATACAAAAAGTCACATGAATATATAGCTTTAGACAACTTTCAAATATAGATATACATATGAACAGATATGAATTTTTAAAATTACATTTTTAATACATCAATATAATATATCTAATAAATTAATTAAGAACTTAACTTAGGATGCATCAAAAATATAACTTTTGTATCACTATGACTAAACATTAAATATCCTAGTACTCTAGCTATAGCAAAGAAAATTCAGGTCACATGGCAATAATCATCTGATTTTGTCTAATCAAATTTAATAATAATAATAAATACATATAGATTATTTTTAAAATTTTTCAATTTTGATTGAAGATATCTCGATATCCACCTAACCAAATTTGATCAACTTCTTTTTTTTAATTTTATAGCATTTACAATTAAAATAAAAAAAAGTTAATTGAGTTTGATTAGGTGGGTGCTAAAATATTTTCGATAAAAGTTCAAACCAATTTTTACTACAGATAAATATTTAGAATTTTATAAAAACTTTGGTTGAAGTTATCTTGACACCTATTTGACCAAATTCAACCATTTTTTTTTGAATTCTATATCTTTTTACAATTAAAAAAAAACTTTAATTGAATCTGGTTAGGTGGATGCCGAGATATCTTCAATCAAAGTTTAAAAACAATTTTTGTTATAGCTTATATATAATAGATATTTAGAATTTTACAAAACATTGATCGAAGATATCTCAACACCCACCTGTTCAAATTTGATTAAATTTTTTTTTTGAATTCTACAGCATTTTACAATTAAAATAAAAAAAAGTTAATCGAATTTGATCATGTGGATGCTAAGATATCTTGAATCAAAGTTTAAAATCAATTTTTTTTGCAGCTTATATTTAATACTGTTATAGAATGAGTTGTAGTATTAGTTTTATTATTAAGTTTATTATTAGTTATTATTAATTATATTATTAGTATTATTATATTTTTATATTATTATTTTGTATTCTATTATTGTATATCGAGTAATCTTAGATATTATTGGTTAGTTGCACGTAGCATTAGAAACTGATAGAATGATAACCATTTCTACCATTCTTATCGTTCTTACCATTTTTATTGTTTCTACCATTTTTACCGTTTCTACTGTTTTTATCGTTTTTACCGTTTCTACTGTTTCTACCGTTTCTTATTATTTCTATTAGTTTTAGATAGTTTGGAAAAGATATATAAACCCTGGCTTTTCTACCTTCCTGCCAGTTAGTTCGAATCATCTTTAGATAGACTCAAGTAGATACAGAAACCCTCTTTGGTTATAAGATTCTTTCTTGTAAATTTTTTTTTTTTCGGTGTTAAGGTGAGGTCATGCCTCTTGTATCTTTATTATTAATTCTTAAGTTTGTACAATACTATACAACCTTGTTGCTCACTCATGCACCTACTAACCAAACTAATTTTTCGAATACGGGGCTCAGACTACTTTATCTGTGATCTAAACCTACCAGAGTATTCCGTATCCCACCTCTGTATTACCTGGTTTTTGTGCTTCACAACTAACTAATTCTAATTACACAACCATATTTCCCCATGACCCACAATCAAACCTTAGTGACTCTCAATTTGGTTCATTCAGGTAATTGGTCCCTAAAGGCCTCCCAGATTGGTGTGCTTGCCGAGAGCCTCTCGTGCACGTATCTCAAGCCAGATTCCTGCTGCCTAGTTAGGTTCACCACATGACAAAGTTGGTACTACCTGACGGATTAGGACTTATCTTGGGTTTGCACCGACTGAGTTAAACCGGTTTGCATTCCTTCATTTCTATGAATACCTAATCTTCCCACTCATTTGCCCAGGTACTACTAACCCGTATCTCAAGCCAGGGACCTGCTGCCACCACCGGTTTGCCATCCACAGGTCTTTTATCGTCTCTTTTTAGGTCTTTTATATGCTTGCATACTTTTCTATATCCTTTGTACTCCCTTTTATGGTATTCATTAGAAACTTGTTTCGTATATGATAACTGATATATTTCCAGCCATTGGCCTTCGTTGTACATATTGTACAACTTCCAACTTAGGGTATCTCAACCCTGGTTGGTGCAGCATTTATACTGATAAATCCTTAACTCTTTTCGTCATAGACTTCCATATAGGTGTAACCAGAGCTCCGATTTGGTATATTTAATCGTACA